TTTCCTGGGCTGCTGGAAACACACCACTTTTGTGGTACCTATCCTCTATTTATGATGATATTGCTTACACTTGCAGGGATATGGTCGTCTCCTAGAAGCATATTTGGAGGACGTCCAACGAGTTCACAGATCTTTTGACTAAGGATGGAGCTAGAGCCCAAGCAGATGCATCCGCATAAAATGCGACTTTTTGGGATGTTGTATTATTCAAACTTAAGTTGCCGGTCCGTCTCCTTTTTTGCTCTGGACCACTGTGGGCGCATAGTTTTTTGTCTTTCTAGTGCATATTGATTGTAACTGGGCAAGCCTATAAGCCCCAATTTTCTGTATAGGGTCACTGTGCAGTGACCTATTTTTTTTTCGAGACACCCTGCCTGTGGATGCTCTATAGTGCCCCCCTTGTATTCCTGATACCCTTCTAGAAATACAATCATTAACCTCACTCAAAAAAAATATGATGCTTAATTGTTTCTCAATCTGATGATGCGAGATTAGTAGATATCTTATTGCCATCTAGAAGTCATCCCATGGTACATAGCTAAGTCTTCTTGCTGTAAACTGGGCAAATATAAGCTTAATGTATGGCTTCTCATGATCAAATCAATTATACACATATAATGTTTGTATTTGGTGGAGGAGGAGATTAAATTTGAAGTGTATGATGTAATTCCAAAGTCATGTATTATTTGGTAATGTGTTTTGTATGTTATTGCATTTTTAAGTCCAAGTGTATTGTCATGAGTTAAATCATTCTCCTTGGTGTATCTTGTATCTAGGACTTGGACAAAGGACCAATTAGAGTTGTAATTTTCCTTTTTTAAGTGTATTGTGTCTTGGACTTGGACAGAGGACCAATTAGAGTTGTAATTTTCTGTATTTGAAGCTAAGTTTGGTGGCTGGAATTTTATATGTTGATGTAACATTGTTGTATTGAATTAAGAATTTTTTTATAAGTTGTCACTTGGACTAGGTTTTATACACTATCAAAGTTTATGCTTCGTAGGTGTATCCATCGGTTGGCTCCCAACATTCTGGTTTATTGTAACATGTTCAACACATAATTCCTCTGAGAAATAGAGATTCCCTTCTTTGACCTTGTCATGTGACCCAAATCCTTTATGTTAACCGCGTAGGTGACATTTGTGATCTTCAATATTTGCTAAACTTTCCCTTGTCACTACATTATCACTGGCATACAAAATGATTGTTATAAACTTGGTACCATTTTTTTTTCACGTACATCAACTTCTCCATCTAAACCCAAATTTTAGCAGGGTTTCACCGAATTTTTCAAACTAGGCTTTTGACCATTATTTACGTCCATATGTCATCTTTTGGTAATTTGCGCGTCTTTCCTCTTTCCCCTTTCCCCATGATGTTGAAAACTTAGAGGCATGATCTTATGCACTTCCTCATGAAGATCTCCATGTAAAAAGGCGCTTTTGACATGTGGCTGATGTAGGGACCAAGATTTATTTGCAGCTAAGGGTGAGTGATTTTACCAGTATTTACTTCGCTACAGGGGGGGGGAGTATCGTGTAATCTATACCATGAGTATGAGAAAAACTTTTTGTAACCAATGTCGCCTTGTATCCTTCAATTGTGCCATCCGCCTTGTATTTCACTACAAACACTCACATGTTATTTTGAGCTTGCATTTCCTCCTACATCGTAGACTTCCATTGAGGTGGTGATAGAGCTTCTGTTACATATGATAAATAAAAATGATAAGAAAGCGCCATAAGAAGGTGATACGGTGTTGTAATAAACAAAGTTGCCTAAAGGATATCGTTGACAGGATCGCTTACGCATACTGCAATGCGTAAGTCAAGGTCTAATACCAGGGTTGAACTTGGATGTGAGGAAATAGTGGGATGAGAATAGTTAGTAGATGGTTCTAAGTTGACACTCGAGTCATGATTGTTCTGGAATTCAGGTTGTATGAAATTCCTTTTTTTAACATACGTCTTTAACTCCTTTTGGGGTGCAATTGTAGCATTCCCATCTTCATTTTGGGACATTTGAACAATGAAAGGAGTTGAAAAGATAAAAATGAAAGGAGTTGAAAAAGATAGATCTAGTGGTGTTGGATTGCTTTTTTCTTGTCTATTGTTCTTCCCATTGCCTTATGGTGCCCGTTCTTACATAGTTGTTGGTGATATGTAGGGCTGAAGAAAAAACCTCAATACATTGATAATATCAATGGCTGGTTCAAATAGTTACAAATTAAGATATTAATATAACTTGCAAATTGAAATGAAAGGTTACCTATTGCATGGGTTTGATGTTTCAATATGCTAGACCAATTCTCATCAATGATAGTCGACACTTCTAGTGTGAAATCTTTAGTTGGCTTCTAAGGCCTACTTTGCTTGGTCCAGTGTGTCATACGAGAATCACATGGCAGGCTTAACACTTATCAACCAACTGTAGGACAAGTACAGGCATGGTTGTCAAACCAATAATCTGCTTGAGTTTATCCCAAATTCTACGGTCATTTAATGATTTCTTAGGCCTCTCTTCCAATCTGATTCCTTGACAGTTGCTGAAACCCATTCCTCTTTTGTCACTTTCTTTTATTGCAGTTGATGCCCTACGATTAATTGTAATCAAGTATAATGTTGCATACCTACTTATAGTAGGCTTTATGAGCTCCTCAAAATGCTGCCCCGTTAAGCTTAGGATGAAGTGATTGTATATGGCTTTCTTAACCCGGTCCTTCACTTCAACTTCACTGATTGCTTCTAACATGAGGTTTCTACAGGGAGCGCAAGGGCTCCAAACAAAATGCTTTCTCTTCTTCATTATCAAACTCCCTACTACTTCAATATAGCTCTTTGTATTATTAGCGATGATCTGAACGACTTTGTCCTCCCCAAACTCTGGCACTAATCTTAAACATAAGCTTCCCATCTTCTTGTTGTGGAAGAGATCTGTATTGGCATGGAAGACTGCCCCACTTGGGTACAACATAAAAAAATAAACAATAGATCACCTTGTCCCATCCTATCAGCCATTAAACATAATCATAATTCCAATCTTATGCCATATCTGCTTGTACTTCTAGAGGAATAATTCTTCCTCAGCCAGTTCCTCATCCAACCAAGGGCCTGCGTGCTTTTTTGCAGACGGGTTCCGAAATCTTAGTCCTTCTTGTGCTATAATGAACTGATTTGGTCGATGATATTTCATAAAAAAACAAAAAAATGATTATTTGCTGCTTTGAATGGAATGGTCGTATCAGAGAACCAACTTGTATTTGCTTTCTATTTCTTGTTCTTGATTGACTTCCCTCTTGGGCTGAAGGGCCTTATGCTCAGCTTGGGGTTGACAAAGAAATTGGTTAATTTGACCTTTAATAGGTTCAGTGGGCCTGCAGTTGGGGTTAGGAAGACCACGAAGTAGTAGAAGATCTTAGCATGGTGTAAGACTTGAAGAGTTCCTGGTGCATACGCCCACCCCTCCATGCCAGGTACTGATAGCTTGGCAGGCAATGGATTACTATTGGAAGCTTCTACCCTCTTGCATCCTTCTCTTCTATACAGAACTGTTTAACTAACATATCTTCTACTGTAAGCTCTATTTGGGCCTCAAAATTTCCAGCCCCTCCTGTTTAGAAGGTGCACAATACTCACTCCTCATTGCCTCGACTAACATATGTCTTTGGACTTTCTTTCCCTTTGCAACTTAGGTAGCTCATTGAATTTGTTGCCTCACTCGTGAAGATGCATCCAGACAAGGCTACACATCACTCAGAAAATTTGTGAGGTGATGTTTTAGGCAATTAATAGTACATGCCATCTCCTTCCCACTATATCAACACCTCACCCATCCCGTACTCATTTCCAATAGCTTCACCCTGTGTTACCATGCTTAATCGACATCTCTTAAGCCTACAAAAGAAAGCATGACACCCAACCATGATATTTTTATATACTACAAAATATAAAAAAAAATTAAATATTGAGTTAAAGATATTTTTATGTAAATAAAAAATATGTTTATAGAGAGGAAATGTTACGTTGGAATTTGGAAACAATCTATGCCTACGAGAGGCATTTGACATATATCACGGTAACAACATTAAGTTAAAAAGAAAAAGGAAAAAAAAAAGAAAGAATGGCAACTTCATTCTAATACATCCATAAAAACATCTTTTTTTTTTTTTTTTGACATTCTAATGGGGTAGGTTTGGAACTCTTGACGTCACATTGTGGCCCGTCCCTTTGAACAAAAATTTCAAGGGAAAATACTACTTTCAAATAATCGAGGCATGCTAGATATATGAAAAACCATAAAAATATCTAATGGGTATTATTAAATAACAATAACCATTAGAAATAAAATATTATTTTTATGCATCAAATTATGAAAAAATTTGATTTAATAAAACATTAAGAGAAAATTCTACTGTCAAAACAATAGAAGCACACTAGATGCAAAAAAGTACCATAAAAATATCTATCTGGTATCATCAAATTAAAAAAGGCAACATTAAATACATAAAATATTATCTCTGTATAGATGAAACATTAAATACATAAAATATTATCTCTGTATAGATGAAAGAAGTCTCTATACTTGAAAATGGAAAAAAGAAAAAATTTCTTGCTCGTGTTTCTGATAGAATGCAACAAAACTGCAACAATAAATGGAATAGCACTAGATCTAGTAATATCAATAAGAAAATGAATCAATTATATGAATTATATTGAAAATATGAAATTTGCGGATTCTCAAATCTTTGCACTCAATGCGAATCGATGCCTCCAATCCTTGTCAAAGCTTCCTTAGATGCCTCAAATCGGAACTCTAGGCCAAATTTGAGTTTTGTGTTCAAATCTAGTTGGTCCAAGCTCTTGAAATTTTAATGAATAGTTAGTAGGAAATAACAGTCTTGTAATTTCCTCGTTTCATCATTCCCCTTGCATATATTCCTACTTGCACATATGTAGCCTCAATTTATATTTGGTGGTCTTACAAAAAGTACTTGTTGTAAGGTGATGTTGAAATCAGGTAAATATGATCTGGTTCACAAGTTCTTTGGAACTATGAGAAGAGGTGGTCTAGCTCCGAAAGCTCTCACATACAAGGGTACTGTTAGGAAACTGGAAATTCTTTTAATGACAAATACTTTTCTTTCTCTATGCTATCTTATTTTTGTTGCTTTGAATATGGCAGTTCTTGTCAGTTGCTTATGGGCAGAGGGCAAAGTTAATGAGGCTGTTGAAGCTGTTGAAGACATGGAGCGACGAGGAGTAGTTGGAACTGCCAGTGTTTACTATGAATTAGCATGTTGCCTTTGCAACAATGGGAGGTGGAAAGAGGCAATGACTCAGGTTTGTTTCCTGCGTATGATCCAAATTAAGGGGCATGCTTTTGTAATCAAACCATTTGCGTTCTTTGCTTTCTATGTTCGATGCTTCTTAAACAATGAATAATTTCACTTTAAACTTTTCTCTGATTGTGTAATAAAAGGCTGATTTTTATGTCTATGCATTCTTTAATTAATTTTTATTGGAGGGAGTAATAGTAAATCAATCCATTGCACTGTTAACTACATACAAAGCGTGATAATTGGAGCACACACTGTTATAGTTTCAAAAAGCAGTGTGCCCAGTGCCAATGCCAACTAGACAAGCTATCCATGTGCGCCTGCCTAGGGACCCCAGGCGGGCACTCAGGGATTGTGCCCTCTAAGGTGCAAAAATGCGTGTTGGGTGGGTTATTTTTGCTGTTTTTTGTTTGGATTATAAAAGATGCATGAATATGCAATTTTTTATTCGTGCATTTTTTATACAAAATCTGGACCTAAAGCAGGATCCTGGACACCCCTTGTTCCCATTTGAACTCAGGCCGCCCAGCCCAGGCCCCTGGCTGCCTGCCTAGTCGTTCAATGGCCTAGACCCCCCTGGCTGCCCTAGGGAGCACCTGGCATTATTTTAAACGCTTCTGTTATTAATTACCTATGACCTATATGTGAATTGTTTAAGTTTGCTTTTGTATTGGGAGTAAAATGCACACTACTTGGCTTATCATAGTTTTGTAGTTCTTTGGGCTTTGATATAAATTGACAATAAGGACCTTATGAAACACATTTGCTGGGTCCTCCACTTCTTGCTGAACCCAAATCCACCTATCATCAGCTTTCATATGGTTTACTGATCAGGGCCCATCTTAAGAAGCCTGTGGCTGGAACCTATGAACTCATGCTCGTTCAAAGCCCCATCTAAGATTTTCTGGAAGAACATGCCAAACAATGCTTATTGTTTATGAACTATCCTATTTATGACTGTCATCGACAGGAAACAACCACCTTGCCCTTCCCTTTCCCATCCCTCCCCAACCTTGTCCCTAGTATCCCAAGATCTCACCTTGCCCTTGACCATGGTAAACCATCGCATCTCTTCCTTCCATACCAATATCCCAGGCCTCCATCCGCTACCAATATTCCATGGCTTCATCCTCTCTCTCTCTCTCTCTCTCTTCCCCTCCTCCCCCCTACCCCCCACCACCATCTGCCCACCCCTCTGGCCCCTCCTCTACCCCGCCCCCCTCCCCCCAGCTAGTGTTGAACAACAGTGGACTGGGAACTAGCGCCTTGCAGTCTATTCCAGAGGAAAGCTCTCCTTTGCTAAAACTTTATGATGTTTATTTTGTTCAATCCATTGATGTTGCTTTAATCCACCAATCCCATGTATCAATGCTAACGTTCCCCTCTTGTTGAAACAATCCATGTCCCAACCCCGCTATTCCACCCCATCTTTCCTTGCGTTCTATTCTAGAGGAAAGCTGGCTACTATCTATGAGAAAGCCTTGTTTTTGCCAAAAGGTTCGGCCTGTGGGCCATCTCGACAGACCACTGTAATTCTTTTCTTCTTTTATACCATAGTTAACAGCATCCAAAACAAAAATCTATTCCAAAGGAAAGCTCTCCTTTGCTAAAACTTTATGATGTTTATTTTGTTTAATCCATTGATGTTGCTCTAATCACCCAATCCCATGTAGCACTGCCAACCTTCGCCTCTTGTTCAAACAATTCACGTTCCAACCCCCCTATTCCACCTCATCTTTCCACATCCCAACCTCCCTATTCACACTTAAAGTAAGAAGTAAAGTAGGAATACCTTTAAGGGACCGACTCGGGAGCTAGGGTTTTTGTTTTTCATTTCTTTTGTCTCCCTTTATATTCGTAACTGTTCTTTGGAATTAGGTCTGCCTGACGTAGGCTTTGTGCCTTGCCCTCAAGGGTCCTATCAACATTAGAAATTGGCAGCTAGTTTAGGATAATATTTCCCCCCACACAAAGGTAAGGAAGATAATATCATTCCTCAAACATCCATATTCAGGGTCAGACTAGCACTCCCTTTCTTTTTTTTTAACTTGTTAAATGTGTATTACTAAGTAGAAATAAAATACAAAGGTTCTCATGAGTAATGAGAGAAAGGCAGCACCCAAGCCAGGTGTTCTTATACAAACAATGCTTTAGTATGGAGGCTTGCCAACATGTTGGGTGTTCTTATAAAAGCAATGCTTTAGTATGGAGGGGGGTGGTTGGCCACCCACATGTCGGGTGCTCAGCCACTTGAGCTATTATGATTGGATGAGCGAGAGAAAAATAGAGAGAAAAAGGCAGAAGAGAGGTGACTTACGGGTGAGAGAAATATGCAGGGAGATAGATTAAGAGAGGGAGAGAGGTGATAGAAAATGAAGGCACAAAGTGAGTGGTTGGCAACCCAAGCGACGCGTACTCAGCCATTCCAGTTAATATTAGTTGGTGGGGAGGCGGATAGGAACTACGAGAATTTGACAGATCAGAGATGAGGTAAGGGTGAAAGAAAGATGGGAGAGAGGAGAGATTAAGAGAGGAGAGAAAGTGATAGAGGTGGAGAGAGGAGAAAGAAGGCAACCCCCATACTTGGGTACTCTATACAAAATATAAAAGCCACAAGCAAGTTAAAGAAAGAGAGAGAGGAGAGAAGGTACCTATTGATGAGTGCATGTGTCAAAAATGGGTGGAGGTTTGGAGGTCACCCACAAGCTTGGTGCTAAGCCACTATGGGTAAGGGAGGGAATTTGGCGTGGTCCACTGACTGGTAGATGTAGACGTAAAGAAAAAAAAGGGGGACCAGGGCAAAAAAAGGGTAAGGATGACTTGGTTAAGAGGGAGGTAGAGAAACGCAGCCCATAGATTGGGTGCTCAGAAATAGGCCAAAGTGTGACAAATATCCTAGTCCCGAGAAAGTTGTTCCTACAAAAGTTATAGAGAAAAGCCAAAGCTAAAGGAAGGGCGAGGAAGGTAGACAAGTGAGCAGAGGGAGAAAGTAAGACGGGGGCTTGTTTTCTTCATTTTTTGTTTTTGTGAGGGTGGGGGGGCGGAGATATGGGATGAGAAGTAGAGATAAGAAGGTAGGAAGAGATGTAAAGGACTAGGAGAGAATAAACAACCAGACCAAGATCCTAAAACCAAAAACTCATGAGACAGGTGGCAGCCCTGAGATGGAAGGACCCTCCTTTGCGCGTTGGCCTCCATGTTAGGCTCATGCCAAATATGATGGAAGCCAACTTAAATTCGCACGCACAAATAAAAAATACTATAAAAATTGGGAGCAAGATGCCAAGGGCAGTGATTCCTCTCGTTGGCCCAAAATATAACACTAGCATTATCCCCTTCCATGAAAAGATTTCCCCCAATTAGGGTCAAACTTAAAGTCCTTTAAGAAAGCATTGGCCTTAGCCTAAGTGGAGTCACTTGTGCCAAGGAAGCTGATAAAGAGGAATGCGTATTACCATCATAATCTCTAAAGATCCCCCAAAATTGCAGGGTCTCTGGTTTGCTCAAAATTTAATTTGATTGGCTGGTTGGGTAGACTCATAGGGGAGAGCGAGAGGGCTTAGAGGGTTTAAATTTGAATCTATTGGACTTAGTTTAGGAAAAATCGAACTAGAATGGTTAATCGGACATGGGGCCCGAAGTGGTTCAACCGTACTAACCGGGTAAGTCTCGGACGGTCAAAAAAGCATTAAAAAATACAAAAAAAAACAAAGAAATGGATTTTAAAAAATATATTTAAAGTATGATTAAACAAGGCACATCCAAATAAAATTTAAAATTAATGAAAAAAATGGATTTTAAAGAACTGGTTTGTGCCCAAAGGTATTTTTGAATTTTTTTTTTTTGAAATTTTCCAAAAAAAGGGAAAATATAAAAATAACTATTAATGGCCACAACAATTTCCAATCTTTACAAAAATGATGAAAAAAAATTTAAAAATGCATTACGAACAAAATCCGTTATTTTTACAATTTCCAATCTTTACAAAAATGATGAATAAAATTAAAAAATGCATTACAAACAAAATCCCTTATTTTTTGGGTATTAATGGCCAAAAGCAATTTCCAATCTTTAAAAAATGATGAAAGACATCAAAAAATGCATTACAAACAAAATCGCTTATTTTTTGGGATTTTATGTAAATGTTTTTGAATTATTTTTAAAATACCTGGCCGGTTCACCAAAACTGGCCGAAAGTGAGGAAATCAAAGATTACCATTCTTGAAACTTGATGGCATATTCTCAAATATATGTGTTTTTGATATTATTCATACTAACAGGAGGCAATTATGATGGCAGAGAATCTACCACAAGGTTGGAATTTGATCGAAAAATAAACAATGGTGTAAGAGAAAAATAGTGCTACTGATATATTGAAAAAAATGTTCTCCTGAATGGGACTTATTTGATGTCATGAGTGCATGACATTATTGCTTCACTAACTCTTGAGTTGCATTCCCCCCCTCTCCTTCTCCCAGATTTCTTTCCTCCTCTCTCGCACTCTCCACCTTTACAATGAAGAGATATGCAAACAAGGTAATAATGCCTAGTTCTTGCTGAATTGTAGCATGTGATTCTTTTATTAGACAACTTCCTGCATTTTTGTACGCCAATGTAATTTTCTTACAAGTTTCTCAAAGCGGAAGGATTCGGTTAGTCAGTAATGTAATTAGATATCTTTATTGTTTAAATATTTTAAGAAGACTGGAATTGGGCTTGGGGTATTTAGCATTTTATTTATTTTTCGTTCACTTGGGAGTTTTTTTGCTCCTTTTTTATTGTAGAGATTGGAAGGGTCTAGTTGGAATCTAATCATGAAAAGATGAATGGCTAGGATTTAATGGTGATTAGGGTTCTTTTTATGTAAGTTAGGGTTTTGATTGTTTCTTCTAGAATTTGTGCGTCTTGGACAAGCGGAAGATATAAAAAAGAACTGAATTTTGGGTCATGTGAAAAGATCTTTCTTTTGGGTTGACTTCAATGCAAAACCAGAGTGAGGGTACATTCTAGCACCTTTTCTTTGTGTGTATTCGTCTTGTTTGTTTTATTTTCTTGTCCCTCTTCCCTACATCAATTAGTATCAGAGCCATGAGATCCATACATCAAAACTTAAGAGACCCATCTATTACCATGCCGCCAAAGCCCTCTCTTGTGACCGAGGATATACTGCCACAAATCATGGAGGTTGTAAATCAGCAAATTAAAGATAGGATGGAAGATTTTTGAGTCCAGATCGATAAACTTCGAGAAGAGATTGGAGGCCTCAATGTAGAGATTTGAGACCGTAAAGGTGAGATTAGTGAAATGAATCGATGTTTTTGATGATTGGAAAATACCAATTGCCGAGAAGAGGGTGCTTGTAATCTAGTGGATTCGGCATCAAATCTTAACATTTGACATCAGACAAAGAATAAAGCGGATTATATTGGCTACTATGAAAAGGTAATCCGAATGCAAAAAATGCTAAGAACCATGAACCTCTACAAGTTTGGATAAGCCATTATGAAGAAGATGGCACACCAACCGTCATGTGAAATATAAGCCCTTGAGCTTGGAGGAGAAATCAAGGGTATGCTTGAAATCCTACATCAAGAACATGCACATAAAGTGTTCTATTAATTAGCTTTATAAAGTGGAAAAGGTACTCAGGCAAATGGTGAGACTCTATCACCAACTATTGAAAAGGCCTATAAAGGGAACGTTGAACACAAGTAGCTCGAAGTTGACCTTCTCCCAACCCTTAGATAATGTTAGGGTTTTTAGTTATCTTGTTGGACTTTAATTATGAAAAGATGAGGGGGTAGGATTTAATAGCGAATAAGGTTCTTATTGTGCAAGCTTGGGTTTTGAAGATTTCTTCTATAAATATGTAATTTTTGGACAAAGGGAAGATAAAAGAGAAGAATAAGAATTGAAATCTGGGTCTTGTGAATATATCTTTCTTTTGGGATGGACTTCCCTGCGGACCCAGAAAGAGGGTATATGCTCTTCCCTTTTTTTTTTGTGCTTGCTGATATAACCTATGATAGAGCATATGTAATTACAACCCTATTGATTCCACACCCCACAGCCCTCCCCTCGAACTCCCTGTCCCCTTTTCTAGTTTCTCTCTCTACCTCTTTGTTTTTTGCCTCGGCCACGATTAATGCAAATAGAACAGGCAGGACTATATGATAGTGCACTTTTCTTCCCTTTATTAAATGCCTAGGTAAACAAACATTGCTATAGTACCAATCACAGTTAGAACCTCCCTGTTGCAACCTGCAAAAACAATGGCCTCTCCCAATGAACCCTTTTTTCCCAATGAATGATCACCCTCTTAGACTTACCACTCAAAATCAGCAAATCCCATTAACCCCCACCATTACCATTGCTCAATTGATAATAGCGTTAGTAGTTCTAATAATGGTGGGGTTTGTGGTGACCAATCTTCGGACCCCTCTCCTAGGAGTGCATTCTGATCAGAGGTTCAAATAATGCATGTATTGTGGCAAGAAGTTCGGGGACTCCCAAGCCTTTTGGGGTTCCCAAGATGCTAGGAAAGGAGCTTCTTGCCTTCCAAAGAGGATGGAGGAGACAAATATGAATGCAAGACAACCTTTATGAAAGCCACCAGCCTGCACAGCCTTACCTTTCAACTCTTATTCTACAAACCAACTGGCTTATTTAAGAACGGGATTATGGATCATTTATGTTATGATTGCGGTTGTTTTTTTTACTTCCGGAGAACCTGTTTGCCACTTTGGTCTTCATTGATTGGTTTTAGTTTGTTGGTTTAAGGTTTAGGGAACTTCTGCCCACAGTACAGGCACTTAAAAACTTTTGATTTCATACTTATTGGAAAAGGTTTTGAAGCTTGGTCACCATTCAATCCACCATTTTGGTCTTTTCACTTTGGGCTCCCTTTCTATTTTTTGTCATATTGCAATTTATGACATTATGTAATGAGTTTTCTCTTCAGCGTTCGAGAGTATATGAGTGGGTCAGTCTAATTAACTTTCATCAGAAAATAGTAAATTTGAATCTGTTTGGGAAATATATCTTCCTTGTAATCTTACTGTACTGCTGATTTGAGAAACTTGGATATGATCTTTTTTCTTTTTTTTCTAATTTATGGTTCATGGACATTATCTGTTTCAAAACATGCCTTTTTCTGTCTTATCATCTGTTTTTTCTTTTTGGAAGTCCCTTGCTGATTTATATTTCTTAAATAATTAATATTTTGTAGATTGAGAAACTGAAGAGTCTTCCTCTTAGTAGACCATTGGAGGTGGCATTTACTGGCATGATTCAGTCTTGCATGGACGGTGGATATGTGCGTGATGGCATATCTATTTTTGAAAACATGCAGGAGTATTGCACTCTTAACATAGGAACTATAAATGTTATGCTGAAGCTATACGGGTGTAATGATATGTTCACCAAAGCTAAAGAATTGTTTGAAGGGATAAAGATGCCTGAAGCCAGATATGATATGAATCTTGATTGTCATGGTGTTAATTCTCCTGATGCATACACTTACAGTCTAATGCTAGAGGCCTCTGCTATTTCACTCCAGTGGGAATACTTTGAACATGTGTACAAGGAAATGGCTCTTTCTGGCTTTCAATTAGATCAAAACAAACATGCTTGGCTACTTGTTGAAGCATCCAGGGCTGGAATGGTAAACCCTTTCCATGATTGCCACAAATGCACTCTTTGTTGAAATTTTATTTGCTTACTAAGCTGAGGTCTTATCCTCTTTTTGTTTTGTTTCCACACCCACACCTTTAAAATTTGCAGTTCTTTTGATAATTAATGATTTGTTTTAACTCTTCAATATGAATATGTTGATTTTTAACTCTGAGCCTGACTTCAACACTTTGGTTATAGGAGTTTAAAGGGGGTAAACCTTGTTGTGGTTTCCCCAGCATGCAAGCACTAAAGCAGCATGTGTTGCTTGAAGCTTCTGTATTTCCTTGGATTTAAATATTAGATTCTGTCTATTTTGACAAGTTGGGCATATTCTGGCATTTTAATGGTCACATGGGCAATCCCCACCCCCCCCTCCTCTCTCTCTATCTGTGGTTGTACTTACTTTTTATTTTGCAGCTCAGGAAACAAAAATTGGTCCTTTTTAACTTTCTTATTATTATTGCTGCTGCTGCTGTTGTTGTTATTTGATAGGCTAGCATGGGACTACCTAGGAATTGAAACAAAGAGACTTATGCTAGCTAAGTTTTAGAGCACATCCTTTAAGAAGCAACATTGTGTTCAATGGGAGAAAGTACATGAGAATCACAATACTTTGTAGAATAAAGGAACATACTAATTATATTCTTGTGCTAAGAGCTGCTAGTGATGTCCTGTCGTATACAGCATCCAACCATATACTGCATGAAAGCCAACTTTTTTACCATTAGTATGAGCTAATAGAGACTTTCTATATGAGTTGATCTAACATTAACTTCCCTTTCTGCCATTTGCAGATGCATTTGTTGGAACATGCATTTGATTCTGCTTTGGAAGCAGGTGAATTACCCCATTGGTCCATCTTCACCGAAATGATATGTCAAACTTTAATTTGCCATGACTTCAAAAGGGCCATTACTCTGGTTAATAGCATGGCCCATGTTTCACTGCAAGTTAGTGAGAAGCAATGGACCAATCTTTTCAAAAGAAACAGTGATAAAATCAGTATTGAAGAACTCCAGAAGCTACGGCAGTGTCTCAATGACAAGGGTTTGATGTCTGAACCCATTGTCACAAACTTATCAAAATCCTTGTGTTATTTGTGTGGATCGAACATTCCGACAGAATATGCTTTATGTGATGTTACAACTAAGTTGTCTACCTTCAGTGAAGAGGATAGAGATGTAAGCTTTAATGGAGATGAATGCTTTTCCCTCGAGGAAAATGTGGAGGATATATTTGATCCTTTACCTGAATTATCACGCTTTAGGATAGATGAAAGTGGGCTTGATGATTATGGAAGTTTTGAGCATGCTTTTGAAGGTTCTGAGTTGCCCTCAGCATCTGAGATACTAGAGCGATGGAAGGAGGGAGAAATGAAAGATGCCAATTGTACTCAATCCATGCTGTAAATTATGCGTGTTTATTGGTTTGAAACGAACAACTTGGGTTGCATTATTAGTCCTCCTTTTTAATTGTATAGTCTCTTCTTTGAAAGGTAGTAAGAATCAAATGAGGTTTATAATTATTAGGAAAATTTGTCCAAATACTCATAAGAGATGAACTGTTTAAAATTTAATTTTCTGCCTCGTATCTTTTCATATAATTTCAAAATACCCATCAGAAAATATGTGATCATGTGTATGAATATAGTCACAATTGGCTCTAATATTAAATAGTTTATTATAGTTTTATATGCAGTTTGATAAATTATGGGATTGTCTACAAAGAGAATTTATTTTTTATACATGGAGGTCATAATCATTCTTACTCATTAGATATCAAATTGGAGTCTTTAAGTCTGAGAATTTTTATTTTTAGAACTGTGTTTATTCAATGATACGTTTACAACCATCTGTTTAGAAAGTTGCGGGACAAGAATGATTGTGGTCTTCATGTAGAAAAGATAAATGGGGACAATTCTAATTCTAATTATTATTATTATTGTTATTGTTATTGTTATTGTTATTGTTACCGATAGTAGTGGTACTGGTGGTGGTGGTGGCCGAAGCTGTTATTATTATTATTAAGGAATTTACTCACAGAACACATCCAGCCAATGTTCTAAAACTCCAAAATTTTAAGACATTCAAATCCTCGGATCAAGTTCACGGTTCAACAAAAAGCGCACCTCCTTAGAGCTAAAATTATTTTGAGGGTAGCAGATTGCTCTCCAAAAGCTCTTCTAGTTTTCTCTTTCATCAGGTTTCTCCCGTAACATCCATACACAAAAATCCTTTGAAAGGAGCTCTCTCTCTCTCTCTCTCACTCTATCCACATCCATAAAAAGGAGCTCTCTTCTCTCTAATTTATCTCTTATGTAAATATGAAATTTGAATTATGGTAAGGTCTGGGGGAAAACAAATGTATTGATTAGAAAATTTGATGTAAATTCGAAATTTTAATAAATTTTTTTTTTGACAAGGGCACTTATTTTTTTATTAATAACGGAAGGGAAATATTACATCATTTAAAATAAAACAGAATATATAACTTATTAATCCAGATTTACCACTTTCTTCACCAAGCCATCTCCAAGCTCATTTGCCTCCCTATAAACATGTGTTGGAAAGGAACTACCTTGAAGATAATGATTCCTATCACTTGTAACCATATAGATCTAAGTTGCCAATGAGGTTTTGAAACAGAAGAGCACCAATTGATAAAATTAAGCCAATGAGGTTTTGAAACATAAGAGCACTAATTGATAATATTAAGCCAATCAGGTTTAGGAACATAAGAGCACCAATTGATAATATTAAGGGAATCTCTTTCAATAATCAAAATATTCTCCAAACTTCTCTCTTTCCATATCAAAATTCCTTGTAAAAGAGCAGCTAATTCAGCACGATTTGTGGACACAACTCTACATGTCCCAGCATAACAAAATAAAATTGAACCCAAACTATTTCTACATACTCTACATACTCCAGCGTTCCTTGGGTTTCTAAAGGAGGATCTATAAAAATTAAGCTTCAAACATCCTTCTATTTCTTAAGGAGGATTTCTAAAAATTAAGCTTCAAACATCCTTCTATCGACGACATCCATCGAGAGTTTGGTCTAAACTTTTGAAAGTGATAAGAAATAAGATTTTCCAAATTAAGCAAGATATCGACCTTAGAAATCCCATGGCTTCCCTTAGTAACATTGAACTAACTCCAGATAGTACGCAAAATCTTATTATTAAGCTCTTGGAACTCCAACAATATACCATCAAAAATTCTTTTGTTCCTTCTAACCATAGCTCCCATATAATAGCTCATCTGAAAATATTCCAAATCATACCCCTTCCTTCTAGAAATGAGACTGTCCATAAAGAGACCATTTATTTTTTGTACATGAAGGTCACAATCATTCTCATTTATTGGATGTCAAATTGGATGGCTTGGGATGAGTCACGAAGTCCGAGAATTTTATTTTATTTATTTATTTATTTATTTTTAAAACTGTGTCTATTCAATGTCACTCTTACAACCACCCATTCTAAAATTTAAGGGACAAGTTTGATAGTGACTTTCATGTACAAAAGATAAGTGGTCACTTTATAGACAATCTTAAAAATCCTGCCAATTTAAGATGCATCAATACATGGGAGAAAAGACCCTGGCATAGCCATCATCACCCTAATTTTTTGCATCGGCCATTGCCATATGTGATAAGAGAGGGGACAAAAGAAGAAAAGATGTGCACAAGTTTCTTCATCATTTTTACAAAATAGACAAACATTGACTAGAACCTTCCCATTCTTTCTAATATTATCAACAATAGAAGCCTTACCTTGAATCATTACCCAAATGAATCCTTACACTTTCAAAAGTATCCTCCATCTCCATATGTCCTTTAATTCCAGCTGATTCCATCTAATGCGATCATGAAGAGCAAGGAATAAGCTGATTTGACCGAGAAGCTACCATCATACTCAAGTTCGCATGTTGCCTCATCTCTTGCCACATTTGAAATGTGTACATTAACTAGCATATGAAGCAACTGAGTGAGTTGGTTATACACTAGAGCAGGAACCCGGTTATAGCGACAGGTAATATCCCAAAAACAAAAGCAAAATTCAACTCACCTTTGCAATCGGGTTTATGCATCTTTGAAATAAAACGCCATCTTAGAGACCCATTTTTTATTGCGAAAAAGAACATCCTCACCTCTACCCACGCACCATCTGATAGGTCTCACCATAAAAGATAACATGTAGATGACGGATTTCCAAAGATGGGATTGTCTCAATCCACCTCTCTCCCTGGGAATAAACTGATTTAATGGGTCCTCTCCATATTTGGTAATCAATATTTACTTCCAAAGATAATCCTCCTGATCTAAAGATCGTCACCGCTATTTAGCAGTTAAGGCTCGATTCATGTTCTTAAGCTTTTGAATGCCAAACTACCAACCCTTTTTGGTGCACATACCCTCTCCCAACTCACTAAATGAATTTTTTTTTTTGTCACCAATAGATCCTCATAAACAGTTTCGCATTAACTGTTCAACATTTTTAATAATGTTTGAAGGCATAATCAATAAATATGTTTGGTATATTGGAATATTAGAGGGAGAAGATTTTATAAGCATGATTCTGCCACTCAGAGATAAATTCTTGACCTTCCATAAGTCTTAACTTCACATTGGCTCTCTTCACAATTGGGTCCCATACCTCCTTTAGTAATCTTGAATTTGAAATAGGCATTGCTAAATATGTAATTGAAAAAGATTGCACTATGCAATTCATAATCCCAACCATTTGATTAGCCGAAGATGCATCACACACCACCCCAATAATTGAGGTCTTACCAAAGTTAACCTTTAAGCCAAGAGCCAACGGACAACGTTTTAAAATTTTTCTAATATATGTTAGATGATCAGAATACGCACAATAAAAAATGTTTGTGTCATCATCATATTTAAGGTGAGAAAAAACTGGGGCCTTCAAGGAAACTTGAAAACCTCGAAACCATTGCCTTGCCTCCACACTCTTTAATATAAGACTAAAAGTTTCCCCAACGAGTGTAAATAAGAAATGAGAAAGAGGATCTCATTGCCTAATACCCCTCAATGCATTAAAGAAATCCTTAGGACTCGTATTCACTAGTATAGAAAAGTGAGCTAATGACAAACACCCATAAATCTACTTCCTCCACATATCCCCAAAACTCATACGTGCAAGATTTCATCCAACACCTTCCATTCAACCCGATCATAAACCTTCTTCATATTGAGCTTGATTATAATTCCCAACTCGCCACTTCTCCACCAAAATGAATTACCTAAGAGGATCTTACCCCACAAGGCAATTGCTAAAAGTTGCCAAATGCTCATGATGCATTCTAATATTCGCACAACTCTCAATCAGACTTCGCTTGTATATGTATCGTAGGGTATAATTTCTCCACCATGATAAGCAATCCTCCAAAATTGTAAAATGAGTTGAAAATATGTCATTGTTGTAGAAGTATTTAGAGGTTGAGACAATACCCAACTTCATGTATAGGGCGATGTAACTGTCCTCCTAATATTTCATTAATAGTATTCTTCATATTGGGTTTTCCTCTGCTCAAATGTTTTTTTGTTAGAGCTTCTTTGGCCCTATCTATGGCCTCATATATGTAACCCATGGTCGGCATAAGGTGGTTATATACAATTCTCAAAATCTTGAGCAAGGGCTCTATAATTCGAATTACATTACAAACTCCAGCCTAAAAGTGACTACTCAAAATCAAATCCACCATCTCCTTCTGACTAGTCTTCTTAGCCTTCTAGGCAGCTGATGTAACCATGGTTGGACATGATATGCAATATGGGAAGTTGATAGCAAATTTAGTTATCACCGACCTCAATACCTCCCTCCATTTGTATACTTCATCATAAAATTGATGACAAAGGAATGGTTGTAAATAAATTTTGTAATACTTTTTGCATTCTCTACAACTTTAGAGACATAGTCCATCTTCCCTATATCCTCTAGCATCAAATCTGTACTATAGGTTGCACAAAATGTCCAAAAGACAGTGGGATAACGAGCTTGCAGTAATTGGCCCCAAGGGTAGTAATTGGCTGCATTGTCCAAATAAACTGGGACACATTTTTTTGTCCCCACTTCCTCAACATCCCTATATAACTCAAATAATGTTTTCCTAGTCTTGACTATGTCAGAGGCATCCAGAGGGCTCAAAAAATTTATTTCTCTGTGATAGTACATAAAAAATTAATCAATGCCCATCTCTTTTGTCTTTCTACCCATCGACTGACGTCCATGTGTTTTCCCTATCTCCCAGTTTTGTTGCTTTTCTAGAGAGAGAAACATGTGGAGAAGGAGCTTTCCATGAGTATATTATAAGAGAGGGAAGATATGCTTGCTGCAAAATAGTTGTTAAAAACAATCTATAGAGAAAAAGAGGTGCAAGAGACAACACAATATTATAATCTTATCCCATGACACTGGCTCCCATGGTGTTGAGAAGCAAGTCCTTGTACCTAGCTCATAAAGAAGCATAAGAAAGAAAAAGATGATTTAGAGAGAGAA